CCTCACTGATGCCCCGCCAGCATATCCCGATAGTGCAGGCGGAGTTACCATTCCATTATCACCCATTAAAAAAAACTAAGTAGCATTCATTTAATTGACAATTTTCAAGGGAATTCATAATATGGATCACTTTTTATAAGTCATTTATTTCCTACAAATTGAGCTCAAGGCACAGAAGGCGTAATGGAGTATAAAAGGTATATAAGTATTTATATTAATCACGACCAAGGATAACCTTCCCATGCCATGTCAAGGTCAGTCCTTCTCCAGGCTAAATAAGTACTGTCTGTATGCTATAATCAATAAGGATTGATCTAGATAACGGCTTATACGGATGAGCCATTACCTAGATGTAAATATTTACTTGTCCAATAATCAAACAAATAAACATAAGTGCCTACTTTCACATTTATAATATCAGTACTACATTCTAGAATCTATCAATATTATTATAAGTAAAAAAAAGCTTTGTACAATATGAATTTATTCTACAAACATGATTGGGTATCGGATGGAGTCCAATACCTGTCTCCCAAGCTCTAGCCCCAGAGGACAAAAATTCATAAGCACACGGGATTCAATTCTAGACCTCAGTCCAGATATTGGCAAGTCACCGTTCCTTATTACTCTGAAACTTGGCGCGGATCGTGACTGGTGGACTAATTCCAGTATAGATTTTATAGAGACAGCCAGAAACACACTGCATAGAGCAAGGGCGTCCGCGCTCTTTTGCCGCAATGCGCGGGACGTCAGACGTCACATATCAACTAAACTAGGACACTGTTTTTAATAAATTGTTTTGCGTGATTATAATATATAAAATAAAATAAATGTTAATTAATAAATTAGACTATTTTTTTAAATTACACTGATTCGCCCACAGACACAGTATACTCTGTTATGTCCATGGTACTGCTCATGTTCATAGGCGACGGTTACCACTTACCATCAGGTGGGCCATCAGCTTGTTTGCCATTCTAAGTTGTATAAAAAAAAAATTCAGTACATATTACATTATTCCTATTCCAACCGAAATAAAATGGGTCCCCTACATTCGCCCGAATGACGAAAGACCGAATGATGTAAGCCCGTTATAAGTACCTACTCTTCTGTGTTAGCCTTTGGTTGCAATTTCGATATACAAAGTACTGCTGGAAAGGGATTGTTAGTAATGGGGACTGATGTCTCCATTGCTAGCAAACCCTGTCAGGTCGACCTCCACGCGGTTCCCCCTGGAAACCATCGTGATTAATACTTGTTGCATTCGTTACCATGGACTAACTGACCTGTTTTCATGCTCATCTATCATCCCTCACTGGTGCCCCACCAGTGTATACTGATAGCGCAGGCGGGTGACAGATATGTATGTAGCACAGGCTAGAATATCTTTTCATTTTTAGCTGTTAAAAAAAATACAAAATACTTTCCTTCTGTTTTAATATTTGACTCTAACGATCTACAGTGCAATATTATTTATTTATTTATTTATATACGTATTTTTGGTGAGTTATACAGTTCTTACCAATGCACTCACTGAAAATTAAAAAATCAAACAATATAATAATACAATATTGAAATAATAATAATAATCTAATTATGTTATACAAAATAAATATTAAAAATTTATTTTTGCGTAATTTGTTACCGCACTGCGAAACTCTGTAGCAGTACAGTGAAATAAGTCCAAATTGGAACTCGCTACTACCTCATTGAGCAGACGTAGCGCCTTCGTGAGTGGCGCCTGATCAGCACGAAATGTCCTGTAGCGTGGTAGGGCAAATATTCCGTGATTACGGTCACGCTTGTTGATGTCTGGGATAGACATGCTTATGAGATTCAACACAAACGCATTGTACTTTATTCCTCTAAGTTTACTGTAGGAGTATTCTAGCAGAGAAACAAGTCGCTTTACCTCTAGGGAATTATATCCTACCATACCCAATAGAAAAGTACTCGGATATACTCGTATGTCGTCACCTTTATGGTAAACTTACGAAACTGAAAAAGTTACAGGAGAACGTTTTGAAACATTAGAATGCAAATAACTTTTGTTAGAAGGCTACTGTTAAAGATCATGCTAACATTTTAGTTTTAAAATGCTGTTTTTTATTGAATGCGCTTAATTAATTATTATTATATTACAAGTATCAGAAATAAATGCATATTCGTTACTTTGCACCTTCATACATGAGAGTTCCTAGGTATTGAGTTATACAACAGCAAATCTACGAAAGTGGCAGTTTCGTAAGGTGCCAAAGAAAATCATTTATTTTAATATCTGGCAAACTAACGGAAGTGCCACTTTCGTAAAAATACCAAGGTATAAATCACATGTTTTGGAGAGAACTTCAGTTTAAATAACAACCTTATAGCAATCATTCATGTAAAATAACTAAATTAGGATTGATAAAATAATTATTGAAATTTTCAAATTAGTGTTTATTATAGAAAATACTATAAAAATATGCTAAGTGAGTTTACTTTGGGTATATCACAAAAATATGGAGATTCGAACTACTCGATTTTTTTAACCGTTAAAGATAGAAATTTGAAAATAAGCCACAATAAGTAGTATGACGCAAAATGTAGATTTTTAAAGAAATGTCAAATTTGAAAAAACTGCAGATTCCAAATTTTGCTATAGAGATGACGATATGAGGATACATGTTTTTATTTGCATTGCACTCACATTATTTTGGTTGCTTATTTTATATTTACAATTCCAGTTGAATTGTGATCACATAATTTGAACGTAATCTTGTATTACGTATTACACTAGTACAGTTTCTATATTATTATCTGTCTATCTAACGCAATATCTCAATAATATCCGAAAGACTGCCGCCTTGAATACATTATGAAACTGGGAATGTCAAATAAACTGACGGCCAACCTGATGAAATGTACACAGTCTATAGATATCGTCATAGTCATAGAATACTGACGGATCTGACAAATATTACATATATAGATCCGTCAGTATTCTACGACTATGACGATATGTAAAAACAGCACTATGTACATCAGAATACACTGTGACGCTCATACCACTTTCATGTGTTGCTATTCCTAAGAGTTACGTATGGGGGGAGGGGGATTGTTAGTAATGCGGAATACAGTCCCATAGCTAGCAATATACTTTGTCAGGTTGACCTCCACGTGGTCCCCCTGGAAACAATCGTACTGAATTCCAGATGTATTCATCACAATGGGCTAACTGACCTGCCTTTTCATTTTCACCTATCATCCCTCACTGGTGCCCCGCCAGCGTGTACCGTTAGCACAGGCGGGGTTACCATTTCATTATCACACATTAAAAAAAGGGTTCCGTATGATGCCTCTATTTTCATGTGAGATATACATACTACATTATAAAAAATCATGCATTTACTACGTGCAACATAACAAAGCATGCATTGTCGTTTCTAAGGATTATGGTCGTTCGATCCTTACCTATTATCGGCGAGTAATCACACATTTTGTTCCATCAATTTTGTGGTTAACTGTCCTCAGTGGATATTGTGATACCACTTGTTCGGTGAACGCCTGGCAGAGCGCCTACTCTACTGATTCAAGTACAAAAGTCGATTGCTTGGGTACCTCTGTCCATTCGTGTTTCTATCATGAAGCAGTTGTGTTTGCATGACTGTGTTTGGGTTTGAAGGCCACCAGTACCCCACATATGTGGTGAATTTACAGGGTACAGAGGAATAACACCTGAGTCCTCAGGAATGGCAACACATGGGGGGTATCATGGGCGAAACAGTATACTCTGTTATGTCCGTGGTACTGCTCATGTCTGTAGGCGACGGTTACCACTTTCCATCAGGTGGGCCGCTAGTTTGTTTGCCATTCTAAGTTGTATAAAAAAAAGTGTTCTCCTGTCCAACATTAAGAGGCAGCTACTCCAAACTGCTTGTGGATCACCGTGCGTGTTTACCGGCAGTGCTTCGTACATCCATGGAGAACGTAAACCGTAAAGTTGGTAAAGCTTCTATTACTCACTGATTTGGACAGGGATCATATAGATACGCTCATTTAATACATAATACACAGTACATACATCCATTCGAACTAATGACCTTTAAACTGCCTCAGTGCAACGATTGCACAATGATGTTATAATTCAGGTACCCTGTAATTTGACAAGGTACAGAGTTCAAAGTTAAATCATCATCGTTGTATAGACTACCTTTAGCATAAGGGGGAGGGAGAAGGTTATTAGTAATGCAGTCAATAGTGCCTATCGCTAGCAATATACCTCGTCAGGTCGACCTCCACGCAACCCCTCCTAAAAGCCATTGTGGTTAATTACTTAGTCTGCCACCGTAGGCCAACTCATCCGACTTCGTCCTCATCATTCCGTTCTCCACGGGTGCCCTACCGTTATATACCGTTAGGATAAGCGGGTGCACCATTTCCTCTTCATCCATTAAAAAAAGAACGTTCAGATAGAAAAACCCTCATGCAAGCACAGCTCATTTACAGTACAGACACGGATGGGACAAATTTTATACGTTTTTCTCTTTTAATTCCTGATAAGTTTTCCACAATGAACTAACTGACTTGATTTTAAATCATAGAGTTGATATTACCATATTTTTTTTTCATCCATGATCTAACGTACATTTATACTCATTCATCATTCCAAACTAGTTTTTTTTTTATACCACTGGCAATCAAGCATACGACCCAACTGATGGTAAGCGGTTACCGTAGCTTATGAACGCCTGCAATACCAGAGGCATTACGCGCGCGTAAAGTGCCGACCCTGAAGAAACCTCTTTACCCCCCTTTTGAAGAACCCCATGCTGTAGTCTCTTGGGAAAACCTCGGCAGGGAGCTCATTCCATAACCTAAATGTTCGTGGTAGAAAACATCGCTGAAACCGCGTTGTACGCGTCCATTTAACTAGTACTCTGTCAATATAAACCAATAACGCAGGCGAGTTTCCATTCGATTTTTAAAACACTGCTAAGATATTGAAAAAAAAAATACAATCTTGGTGGACATATTTTATTCATAGACTATATACAATTTTATTTTCAATAACCATAACAAAATTAACGTACTTTAAACATATCTATTTAAATACTATTTATACCTTAATTTGTAACAATATGATTTATTTTGCTTAAACAATGTAGAAAAGTATAAATATATTCAATTTTCTAAATTATCATAATGTTAATAAATTCAAGAAATATTACCTACTTTACAACAAACAAAAATATACATATATACATTTAAAAAAAAAGTTGTTATTTTACAACTTACTTGCAATATTGTTATATCACAGACTATTTCATTAACTACTGAACTATTTTACTATGTCTTATTAGTATTATTATTATATTTATTTTATTTAATTTCTTTTTTACATTTGTATCTGGCGGAATATGGTTAAACGGCTTAATTGATTTAAAAAGAATCATCGATTGATTTATGCTTACTATGGGAGTGTTGTAGGTTGAATGACGACATAAAAAAATAGGATAAGTTATAAATTATAATAAACTTGATACGGACTAGTAATTCGTAATCTACATTAAGTTACGCCTATCATCTATTGATTGTAAATAATTATAAATGGAAACCAAAATACTCTGATTCAATTATATCTTTTTCACTTCCTTCACAATCATTGAAGAATGACATCACCATTCATACAAACTCGCCAGCCTCAAGTGCTATTAATTTGAACTTTCTTCAGCATGTTACCAGTAGGGGGTAATCACCCACTATTCACTTTGAATACCCAACCAAGTTTAATAAATATCTCGCACTAAGTGCGAAAATTAAAGGACTTGTACAATTTTATTAGTTGTAATATTAATGAGTGGGGGGAAAGGAATTGTTAATATGGGGTCAAATAGCCCTATTACTAGCAATATATCCTGTCAGGTCGACCTCCGCGTAGTTCCCCCTGGAAACGATCGTGGCTAATTCTAATTGAATTCGTCAGGATGGGCTAACTGGCCTGCTTTCATCCTCATCAGTCATCTATCACTGGTGCCCCGTCAGTGTATACCGATAGCGCAGACGGGGTTACCATACCATTATCACCCATTAAAAAAAAAAAAACTAATGAGTCATGATTTGTACAAAGTAAGATATTTTAAACCTCTCTCTCTTTCTGCCTCCCAACTAAGGTCAAAACACTTGCACCAAAGTAGTTGCTATGTTCTTTATTATTACATATCTTCTATTCTCTATACTTCCTATAACTTCTAATGCACATTTATTTCTAATAACACAATTCATTCAATGTCAATAAAATTTTAATTGATTTTAATAGATACTTAACGAAAATATACATTAAAACGTAAGTCTCTATACAAACAATCTTACTTTCATACTTTTTTTTTTATACAACTTAGAATGGCAAACAAGCTGACGGCCCACCTGATGGAAAATGGTAACCGTCGCCTATAGACATGAGCAGTACTATGGATATAACAGAGTATACTGTTTCACCCAAGATACCCCCCATGCGTTGCCATTCCTGAAGACTCAGGTATTATTCCTCTGTAATACTTCTTCTGTCATAATCCAAGATCACATGCATATATAACTGTAACATATTTACTAGTTTGTTTATATATTTATTCAGTTTTTACCCGCAACTTCGTTCGCCCATTTAAGGATTGATTTAAAACAAATAATCTATATGGTTTGTTAATTATCAAAATCGATTGAACCGTTTAGCCATAAAGAAATCAAGCAGACAGTTATTTCCGCATTTTAAAATATTATAATGTAATTCAACACTAATATATACCACACACTCTATTCGCGGGTAAAGCCTTATCTGAAACAAGAATAGATATTAAATATTAGATATTTTTTATGCAACTTAGAATGGCAAACAAGCTGACGGCCCACCTGATGAAAGTGGTAACCATAGCCTATAGACATGAGCAGCACCATAGACACAACAAACAGAGCGCACTGTGTCGTCCATGATCCCCTCATGCGTTGCCACTTCTGAGAACTAAAGTGTTATGTCTCTGTACCCTGTAATTTCACTACCATATCCCATCCTTCAAACCGAAACACAACCGTGCAAACATAACTGCTTTACGGCAGAATCGCAGATGGGACAAAGGTAACCAAGCAAACGATTTTTGTACAAAGTCTGTGTGGTTATATCTCTATGTTTAAATAGTCTTGAATTCGATTCTCGTTCAGGTTAATTTAGGAAACTTTAAACAATGACAAATTCTAATTATACAGACTTTCAAATATACTGTTTTTTTTTTTTTTACAATGTCCAAGAAAATCATCAATTTGGGAAATTAAAACTACGAAACAAAACTCTATAAAGTTTCTTCATTTACCACTAGACTGGCCCCTTTTTACCCACCATTGTGATATCGTCATAGTCGTAGATATCCGTTAGTATTAACGGATCTATATATGTAATATTTGTCGAATCCATCAGTATTCTACGACTATGACGATATGACAATCCCAAAGGTACAATGGCATATTGCTTTGCGTAATGAGATACCGAGTTCAATTCTCAGTTGGGCGAATTAAGAAATTTACATTTGCATATTTGTTCCAGTTGGGGTGTTCTGAAATGTTGGATTAGGTATCCAAATGTTTTAGATTCAATCTGGGTGTTCTGGGGTATTGGGTTGGGCATCCAGATGATTTTGCTACAGTCTAGGTGTTCTGGGGTGTTGGGTTGGGCATTTAAATGTTCGTACCTGATTCCTCATGACGCAGGGTATCCTAGCTTAAGGACCAGGCAATCAGTGTAATTTTATGGCACTTATTTATATTGTAATAAAAGTTCTAAAAGACTCACCAATCATTTTTGGGTAAGGTAAATTCAAATTCTCCATTATTTTTATAAACTCCCCCAACGATTTGGACAATCGAGGGTTATACTTCTTCTCTTCTCCAACCGTAGTAGCAGTCAGTCCTTTGTAGTCGTGTGCCGGATACAGCGTGTAATGGTCAGGCAACGTGAAGATCTTTTGATGTACCGACTTGTATAAGGCTTCTGAGGAACCCTCCTGGAAGTCGGTGCGACCGCATCCCCTGATGAGCAGAGTGTCACCAGTGAATGCTATACCCTGAAAGTTAAAGTATAATAACTTTAAAACGTGACAGTTTATTTCATGTTTTAATCCATGGGGAGAGGGGATTACTAATAATAGTCCACATTGCTAGTAATATACCCCATATGTTTTAACGAGTAACCTCATCCTACTTATCAGTATAGACTGGCGAGCACCATGATGAAACAGGCCAGTTGGCCATCGTGACGAATTCAAGAGTAACTAACCATGGTTATGATTTCCAAGGGAAATTGCATGGAGGTCTATACTCCTTTTTTTTTATAGACGATAATAGTAATTCCGCCTGCGCTAGCAGTATACGCTGGCGGGGCAACTGTGAATGATGATAGGTGAAGAAGAAAGCAGATCAGTTAGCCCATCGTGATGAATACATCTGGAATTCAGAGTGAATTAAATTATTTTGTCATTTTTTTAATTTTTATTCACGAAATTTCTGTCCTAATGTGTACTTTATCATAAGCAGATTCTTAGTCTTACATATCACTAAAAATTTTGATTTCATCTGTATACATAAAATATATCCATATATGAATGAATAAATTCTTTATTGTGCATACTGTGGTAATTACAGGTTGATAGGTAGGTAATATGGTGTACAGTACAGTCTAGCCACTATTGGCGTGCAACATTTAAATTATAAAAAAATTACAATATACAGTTACAAAAAAAATCAAAATACATTACAATTAACAATTTTAATGTCCTTTTCTTATGATTCATTATTATTCTTTCATATTATAAATACATTTCTCAATAAGCCACTCTTTATAGCCCTGGCATAGAATGGGTCAGCCTTTTTTTCCTCATTTTCCTAATGAAATCTTAATGGTTGAGAGATGAACAAGAGCGTCCCTCTTAAAACATCACTAAAGGTTAACTGCGGTTGCGAACCCACCAGCCAAGCATGGCAACTACTGACAAACCCCCAAAAAAGTAAATAAATATCACTCAAAAATAAACGAACCTGTTCATGGCATATATATGTTACACACCCGTTAGTGTGACCAGGAGTAGCAGCCACCGACAACTGGTATCCGCCAAACTTGACCAGGTCAGCATCAGCGAGGTGAACATCCGCTGTAGCTCCGGAGGCCTTGCCGATCACGCTGCGTGCGCCCGGCAGGAGGGACTTCAGTTTCCCCGTGCCAGTTATGTGGTCTGCGTGCATGTGTGTATTCACTGAAAGGAAATGTTGTTCACTATGAGAACAAACTACATAAGAAATCAGTAAATTTCCAGTAGACAAATCTTTCTTTTTGGACATATTTATTTATATTTCTTTATTGTACACAAAAAAATTACAACATATGATATATATATATATATATATATATATATATATATATATATATATATATATATATATATATATATATATATATATATATATAAGCTAGAAAATAAAAAGTTTATGTTTTGAGTATATTATAGATAATATTTATTACTTTAGTATATTAGTTTTATTTATCCTTACTACTATTATAAATGTGAGAGTGAGTTCATTTGTTTACCTTATACCACTTTAATGGTTTACCCAATCACTATGAAATATAAACAAACTAAATATGCAAAGCCACACATAAAAGCTAGTAGTTAATTAAATGACAAAAATTGAAAAAAATATGCTAAGATTATTAACTAATAATATAATTAGTAAATAATCTTGGCATATATTTATTGAAATATAATAAACTATGTATAAAATACAAATAAAATACATTAAATATAGAAAAGATTAATTGTAAACTTGTTAACATTGTTACACTTGAATTACTTTCATACATATGGTTCAAGATTGATGAATGTGGAAGAAGCGAAAGAGGTTTGTTTGAATCGAAGCATTTGGCGTTCCATTGTTTCTGCCTACCCTAATGGGAGACAGGCGTGACAGATATGTATGTATGTACATATGGTTCAAATTATATGTGTAATTTGATTTAAAATCTATTTACTTAAATTTGGCCATAAACTGTCTATAAAGACCCATTAAAATTTGTCTTCGTACATCTATACAAAACATATATCCATACCTTGAGAAATCATATGAAGTTATTAGTTATTACCACTCAAGGTATGAGTTATAACATCATTAAAACATAATGTCAAACAATTATAAATGCATTTGACAAGGACACTGATATATAAATAAACAACTGCCCATTCCTTACATCAATCTATTGCAATGGAATACATTCAGCCATTTAAGCATGATTGAGTAAAACATTGCTAATTTTCACATTTATAATAGTAGTTGGATTAAAATGCATATTTTAAATACTTTGAAATTTTTTTACAGATAAATAGTTCCTATGTACCTGCTTCTTTATTGCTGACAGTCGGACTTGGATTGAACCACATCGTGACAACATGATACTACGACAAGGTATATAGATACTATTTACCAGCAAAAATGTTTCATCACATAATGTGATGAAACATTTTCAGTACTATACTATATTTAAAATATGTATAAACAATGTGAAAGTTTAATATTAATTATACTAAAATCTGTTTACTTACTTGCATAAATCAAATTGAATCCTAATTCTTTTATAAGTCCCGCATCGCGCTCTGCATGTTCTAGTACTGGATCTATAATAACTGCATCCCGAGTTGTTAAGTCACCGAGCAAATAAGTGTATGTGCAGCTCACTGGGTCAAACAGCTTAAAAAATATTAAACATAAATGTTATTTAAGTTCTTATTTTAATGACTCAAAATGGAATATTACTAACATGCTAATATTGGAGGGAAGGAATTGTTAGTAATGTGGACTACCAGTCTCATGCCTAACAATATGCCCTGTTAGGTTGAACTCGACATGGTTCCCCCTGAAAACCATCATGCTGAATTCCAGATGTATTCATCATGATGGGTTAACTGACCTGCCTTTTCATCTCACCTATCATCCTTCACTGGTGCATTGCCAGCATATACCATTAGCGCAAGTGGGGTTACCATTCCATTATCATCCATTAAAAAAAAAACATACTAATATTCATACCAGAGATATTATACAATTTACAAGTCAGTCTTGATATTATTTATTATAATATTACACATATACTGTAAAGAAGTGCAGGTTTAAATTTATTGCAGTTTAATAATTTTAACAACTTGATTACATATTTTGTTACTAAAATATTTTAATTTTATTTTACATAAAATAAAATCTTAATATTATTTTACAATCACCAAATATTTATTGGAATACAATATTTATTCCTAATATATATAAATGTAACACTTGATAATTTTTTTTTAATCTAGGTACCACCCACTTTACTATCTTGTACAAAAGTAAAATACAGTTTCAGATGAGAAGAATGTAGGTATATAAAAGACTTTGGCAATTTTCACTTTCAGAAATAAGTTTTGTTGAGATTTAAAATTTTGTGTAACTACAAATCAACAAACTGAACTACTAACATAAAATTTATTCATTCAGCAAAGGAAGACATTATAGTATCTCTATTCCACTCAAATGTTTATCGCTAAGCATTGATGCTTAAACTTAAGCTTGCACAACTGTCTTTCAATTTAAAAAGAGATATAGCAATGAACAGTCCTCAAGGAACGGCAATACAAATGGACAACTGTAGATTTCATAGTATATTCTACGATATCCATGATCCTCCAATTCATGTAATGCAATTAACACTTCCATCAAGTGGACCGTCCGCCCGTTTGGCTTTACAAGTCGCATAAAACAATTAAGAGTTAAAATTTAAAGTTAAAAAGAAATAATAAAAGTAATCTTACCTGTCTAAAGAAAAAATTATTTCTATCCATTTTTGTAGACATTAATCTTATGTTTATATCAATATTAGACCATAAAAATACTTTTGCTACCTTCGCACTATGGACCACTGATTTAAACTGACGCAACATTGTGTAAAAACTGAAACATTTATATATGTCACTTATTTATACATGTGAGTTTGTAAATATTTACAATCAACTCAACTTTGGAAAGTACTTAGGGTAAGTAACTGTTATAGATATAAGCTTGCTTATCTTAGATAATTATGATGATATTAATGGGAAATAACAGGTACATTTTAGTACGATAGTCATATCATAACAATGCCAAAGTGGGCAGTCACATGATTATATTTCCCTTTATATGAGCAATCAATAGCCATTGTTCTGTCGATGTAAAATAACAAATCAATGATTAGTGATTTTACACGTGATTGCATTATTTATTTATTTAACACTTTATTACACCAATATAACAGGATTTGTTGAACAATTTTCAATCCGTATAGTGTAGTACAAAAGGCGGTCTTATTGCTAAGCAATCTCTTCCAGACAACCTTTGGGTAGAAAGAATTAAAGCATACATAGGTAGGTGGCGAATTTAGCATTCATAAATTTTATTCTTGTTACTAGGTGATATTTAGTTGATCAAGGTTCAAACACTCACACTTTTAACTATATTTATTTTCCTTAGACGACAGACAAATATTATCATGAAAACTTAATTTTATATTTAAATATAATGCATACTTTCATAAAGCAAAATCAGAAATGAAATTGAATTCAAATTAATACAAATAATAAAAAATAAAATTAAAAATTCATTTTTTTTTTTTTTTTAGTACGTTTGTTCCGTTTGGAACAGGCTAAGGTCGGAGACCATGCTGCCTAGTCTTCAAAAAGATAATTTGTCTGGAATTTTATTTTTCTAATGTCGCTTCAATTATTGTCATAATCTTCAATATTTCATTTGTCAAATCCGGTAAGTACATTTTCATAAATATCTTTTCTTGAGTTTTCTTAAACCAGTGGATTTATCAAATTAAAAATAAATAATTATAAAAAATCATTGTCTTGCAATTCAATAAAAGTATTCTTATAGCTCCTTGAATGTTGTAGTAATATAAGTGAAAATAGCTTTGAAACAAGAAGGAAATCTTAAGAGAAGCGGGATTGAGTGCGGGATATTTTCGGGTTTTTTGAAGATAATCCTAAGTTCGTCAAACATAATATGTCTTTGAATGACAAATTCAGAGCAATCAAAAAAAAGGTGATGTAGAGATTGGGCTGTATTTGAGTTACACCATGTGCATGATGGGGAAGCGATCATGCCCATTCGGTGCAGGTGTTCGTTGAAATGTCCGTGGCCGATTCGTAATCTACAAATATTGGTGTAAAATTTTCTGTTTGTGTCCTTTCCTTTGCAGAACCACGGTTTTCCAATACGCCAATTAATTTTGCGGTACCATTTACCTTTAGTCTGTAATATTTGAGTCCAATGCTCCTCCCATTTAGTTGTAACGATTTTATGTATTCCAATACTACAATCTGAGTAACAAAGGGGTAAATCTTGAACACGAGCAGCACTTGAATTAATAATTTTAGCCAAAGTGTCTACTTGTTCATTCCCAAACACTCCAATATGTGAAGGGGTCCAGATGAAGATAATATCTTTTCCATATATAGTACAGAGATGATAATATTTATTACGAATTTCTTGAATTAAGTAGTTTGATGATGAAATGAATGTGTTATTTTTTAATGCCATAAGAACACTCATACTATCTGTAATTATAATCCATTTCGAATATAGTACCTGTTTTTCTATGTATTCTAATGCTAAAAATATAGCTTTTGCTTCTGCTGTGTAAATACTAGCCAAAGTTGAAATTTTATAACCGTGACCAAATCTATTTGACAAATCGTAAAAAGCCACTGAAGTGCTAAGTGCATTTTTGGAACCATCTGTATATATCTGCCTGTAGTCAATAAATTCTGATAAAGTCTCATACATATCGTGCTTTTCTTTTATGTCTTTACGTATAACAATTTTGATCTTACAGAACTTACTCTCATAAAGGCCATTATAACAAGGAAGTATCTTACTACTATAGATGTTATATTCATCTCGTAAATTCAAATCATTGACAATAGTTTTATTCAAAAACATAGAAATGGGGCAATTTAATAATTTGAGTATGAGTGGGTTATTGGAAACTGAAAAAACTTTGAAGAGAAATTTGAGTTTTAGGTATTCGAAACGAAGAAGGATAGGAGGCAAATTACATTCTACTTGCATTGAGATAATTGGAGAAGTATACATAGCACCTAAAATAAGTCTTAAATTCATATTTTGAATTTTTTCGAGTTTTTCTACTAATTTATGTTCTGAGGCATAACAAAAGAAAGCGTAATCAAAATTACTTCTAACAAGAGATTTGTAAAGTAAAAGGATAATTTTAGGATCAGCTCCCCAGTTACGACCAATTACAGATCTTATTATATTAGTGGCTCTTAAAGCACGATCTACTAAGCAATCAACGTATAGATCCCATTTTAAATTTTGATGAAAAATTACCCCCAGAAATTTAACGCTACAGTCTGTTGGAAGAGTTTGATTATTATATATAATATTCATTAATGGAACATATTTATGAACTTGATGAAAAACAACTACTTTACTTTTGGTTAAACTAATATCGAGGGAAAGAAGATAAAAATATTTCTCAAGTCTTTTTAATGACTCATTTAACACTAATTGCATATCAATAATATTCTTTCCTTTTATATAAATTAATAAATCATCGGCAAATTGCAAGTTGTTCACACTGTTTCCTAAAATTGAATTAAGTTTATAGATATATAAAATATATAGTAGCGGGCTTAGAATACCACCTTGACATACTCCTTTAGAGCTTAACCTAGGTCCTATTAATTTACTATTTACTTTAACATACACTTCTCTATTACTAAGAAAATTATAAATCCATTCGATAAGTTTCATTGGAAGAAATGAGGATAAAATCGAAGATAGAACTGTTAAATTTACATTGTTAAAAGCTCCTACGACATCTAAAAAAACAGATAGAACATATTCATCGTTATTCAAAGCAGTACTAAGGTCGACATAGAAGTTCGCTAAACTTTCGCGCGCTGAATATCCACGGCGAAAACCAAATTGATTCGATGGTAATATACTATTACTTTCAATAAAGAACTCTAAACGCTGTTTAATTAATTGTTCGAATAATTTGCCTGCACAGGACGTCAATGTTATAGGTCTATAGGAGTCGAAATTTGTAGGATCTTTACCGGGTTTAATTACTGGAATCAAACAATCCATTTTCCATTCTGGTGGGATAATACAGTCCTTCCATAAATCGTTAAAAATTTGTAAGAGTTTAGTAAGGTTTATTTTATTCAGCAATCGAAACATATTGTATGTTAAGCGATCAAGGCCACTAGCTGTATCTTTTCTAGATTTTACTGCACTGGATATTTCATCAATTGAGAATGGGTCAGTGAGAAATTTTGGGCATGAATTAACAGAATTAAACTGTTTGTCATCAAAAGATGAGTGTACAAAATCAGGAGTATATTTGCGTAAAAAATCATTGACCCATGATATATCTTTAAAATGATTTTGACGATGTTTTGAATTTAGTTTTCTCATATTTTGCCAAACAGTGGAAATTGGTGTTAATCTATTAAATTTGGAACAAAATTCCTGCCACCCCTGTTGTCTTACTTGCTTAATTACTAACTTTTTAACAGCTTGAACTCTTTTAAAATTTATGTAATTATCGAGAGTTGGATTTTGTTTAAACCTAAGGTAAGCCGCTTTACTATCATTGACAGCTGTCGCACACCTGTTATTCCACCAAGGTACTGCAATATGTTTGTGCCTCTTTGAAGTATTTGCACCGCTATTTGATAAGTTCCTACGTGGAACGGAACGTTCCACAGCTGTCAAAATAATTTTACAGAACCTATTGTAATTGTTTAAGGGTTCATTGACATCATACTCGAAATCCAAAAGTAATTGATTAACAGTTTCAGAATAAAGATCCCAATTAACGAGACGTAGGTTTATACGATTTAACAAAAGTTTATTAACTTCATCTATAGGAGCATGTTGTTCACCTGACGGAGTTGATGAAGAGTTCTTTGTGTTTATTTTAGTAAAAGTCGGCAGGTGATAACTTCCTAACGGATCATCATGAACCGACCACTCGCATTTTAATGATATGGATGGGGATACCATAGTTAAATCAAGGCCATTGGGTCTCCAAATATGAGAGCCAACAGTAGTAACTTGCTTATCATTTAATAGTACCAAATTACATTCATCTAAACAATCAAGAATGTCTTTACCTCTTGTATTAGTGGAGGTACAACCCCACATAGTATGATGTGCATTTAAATCTCCAGATATGATAGTGGGTTTAGGAAGAGACTCCAAAAAGAACTTAAATTTGGCTTTAGTAAAACTAGGTATACTATTGGTAGGACAGTAAATACTGGCAACTGAATACCAAGAATTATTAACTTCAATACTAATAGCTATAGTTTGCAAAGAATTGTCGAAAAAAGAGTGAAGTTTTTTATATCTAATACTATTATGTATAATAATCGCTACTCCATTGTGGTTATTACCACAATCATTTCGTTCTATACAATAATCTTTAATTTTTAATTTGTAATGTGGTTTTAGCCAAGTTTCTGAGATGAGAGCAATGTGAATATGATGTTCATTTAAAAATTGTGTAAAAATATGTCGATTGCTCAGTAGGCTCTGAGCGTTCCACTGTATGATAGTTAATTGGTCTCGATTGAATTTTGTGAAATAGGTCTATTACCAAAAGTATCATATAACACATTCAAAACACTTTTAGTGTTAATAGATGTGTTCTTTGTGTTATGTAGTGAAATAAGTTTGATTATGCTTTCTATTAAAAGTGATAAACTCTTGTTATCAGAATTTAGAATTGAAATTAGGTCTACATTTTTTTTAGGTTTGTTACCCAGTTTAGGAAATATTTCAGTGCTAAGTATATCTCCAAAAGAAGCGGGTCTGAATTTAGATCTATTTTCAGCAATTTTCTTTTGTTTAACAGGGCATTGCGGTGATACACTTGTGTGATTTCCATTGCAGTGTACACAAATAGCGTTTTCCATTCCAGTTGTACAAGTTTTATAATTATGCTCACCTTTGCAGATGCTGCAACGCTCAGAATTCTTACAGAATTTAGCTAAATGTCCATACCTCAAGCACCGGTAGCATTGTTTAACTGGTGGTATATATGGAGTGACATTGTGGCGCCAACCTCCAATATCCAGATATTCAGGTAATACAGATGCAGCAAAAGTAATTGTCACGGTTAGAGTTGGCTGTAACACATATCCATGAGTCAAGGTATTTTTTCTTAAAATTCTTTTAATAGCAATAATTTTCTTAGAACTCGATATCATAGTATATATTTTTTTATTAGATATATTTGTAGGTACATTTCTAATAACGCCTGTAACTTCTGTTGAAGAAGCAGGAATACTGGCCTTAAAATGGTAGTCATTTAAAAAAGTTTTATTATTTAAAAAAGCATTGGCTAAGTCTGGCTTTTGAAAGTATACTCCGATTTTGAATTTATTTATAGATCTAAGATAAGTTACCCCTTTATTAAATCGTTTTAAACAGGAGGAGAGTGAGAGCAAGTCTCTGGATCCAATGGTTTTCTGACTATCTGAGGATTCTACAAAGACAACAAATTCTGTCCCAGGGGATTCCTCGGGATATCTTCTAATATAATCTGTGACGTAGTAAGGTTTATACTTATCGGCCTTATCAATTTCAGATTCTGAGTCAGTAGAAGTATCTTCCGAATATATATCCTTGTCATTACAAGGTTCATGGTCTACATCACCTGAATCGTCATCTTTTTTTTTCCTTTTTCTACAACTGCGCTTCCCCATGAATACTAATTATATTACTGTCGCTGAATTTAGTGAAAATATAATATTTTATTCAATAATAAGAATTGATAGAGATAGTTTTAATAAATTAATAAAAAAAATTTAAAAAACCCGCTTGTTCTTATTCGAGTTTCCCGCCTTTTTCTTAAAAATTCAATGATATCTATCAATTTTACTATATTTTGTACGTATATGTATAGTATGTTGCGGTTAACAGCTGACATTTGGCAATGTTAACTGTAAAAATAAAAATAAAACTGTACAAAGTATTGCTTTTGGGATAGCAGTAAATTTAATAATAACAACTAATATCTACTTTCTCTTGATTGAATGGTTTTGTTAAATCTATAAATTAAGTTTTGGTATGTTGTCCTTATAATGTAAGGTTCTTTAAAATTTCTAAAATCTGTCATATGCACTGTGCTACAACGTGCAAAATATAATAATAGTGTTCTTATTAATAATTGGACATAGATAAATATTATTTATTCATTCAATTATTTAGTATTACAAGAACTCTATTTCTAAAGTGTAGTAATTTTGGTAGACGATAATTTATTACAGTTTTAACTATAATTATAAAACATTTACAATAAACTTATATAGAAATCAATCAGGGCTAAAGCATAGAAGGAATAATTAAATATAAATCTTGACTCATAGAGTTGTCTCTTTTCTTCTTACGGTATATTAATTTGGGAAAAGAGGATAAGAATTATATTGACGATATTATATTTGCAAATCGTATCAATAATGAACTACATGAAAACAAGTAGTCATAATCAATATTTATCATTGAAGAATATCTACAGTCATTCTGAAATTCAAAGTCGTAGAGGCATTACTTATTCTATGTCTATGTGCAATCAAAATGCAATGTGACAGAATTTGACAATGGATTTTATAAAACTCGTAATGACAAAATCATAAAATTACTTACTACAATTTCTTAATTCTAAAAATGTAAAAAAAAAATGCACCATTAATATTAAATTAGTAGATAGGAAACTACCAATAAAATTATATGAAGGTAAGACCATTAAACAAAAATAATTAATAAACTAGTTCAGAATGAATTATGAAATAATACTAATATCAATAGCAACAAGTAAATGTAAATCAAATAATTTAATTTTCAGTTATTCGTTAATCACAATATATTTGTCAAAAAACTTAACAGTTTAAAGTGTACATAGAAAACCGACTTCTACTTTTACGTCCACTTCACACATACAATGTATTATTGTGTTTGAATGTGCGTATGTATTCGTGTGTTGTGGTTTTCTCTCCATTGCGTTGCAATAATCTGTATCATTCTATCCCTTTTTAACACCAGAGTGTGAAACGTCATTGACCTCCGTCATCCCCACTATAGTAGTCGATATTTTTCGTACATACACACAACACAAGCAATTTCTAATTGTGTGCGTGAAACAGGCACTGCGTCTGCGAACTGTGCAGTGTATTGATGTAAACAGTTTGTTGTCATTTTTATTTCAGTACGTTTGGATGATCGTAACAGGATCTTACTAGTCGCAACGATAAAGATTATGTGAACAGCTGTTTTGTTATTTAATTAAATGTGAAATTCAGTGTGGAAAGTTTGTTCCGATTATGCACCAGGATTTGAAAATAATTCGTGCTTAAAAGTCTTTGTTTACTAATTCATGAGATACTAACCAGTGGTGTAGCTGCAACGCAGGTCAGTTTTATAGCTTCAAGTTATCTATTATTTAAATTAAATTATGCATTTTTTATCTTTACAAAATAATAAAATTATAATAAAGTCAAAACTGTGCATTAAATACCTATTTGTGGAAATGTAGTTTATGATTACCTACATGTGATAACGTCAACATTTGACAAAAGACTGTCTACCCCTGTAGGAATTATAATCGTGAGTATATATGTTACTGCCCAAGGTGTTAAATTGTTTTATTTTTCAGTCATTTATTTTCAAGTAGTCTATTGTCTCTATCAGACAATAGATGGCCTAGGAAATAATTTTCGAAAAATGCTGTATTTAATGTAAAATAAAACATTAACAATAATAAAAAAATCCCCTTTGACCAATATGCAAAGTTAATTACCTATATAATAAAATAGACATTTACATAGGTAGTAGTACAATTTAAATTCTAATATTTTTTTTTAAAGAAACGTCATTTTAAATTATCGATATGTTTTTACCATTAAATGAATATATTTAATGTAAAGCAGTTTATTTTTTATGTCACGGCGGCGGCGTAAGCATTGTGCGTAGATCTGCGAAATTACTTCCTTATTAGATATATTTAGATAGACATTATCAGCAATGATACTAGCTGTTAATGTAGCTTACTATAGATGGCAACAATTTTTAAAATCGGTTAAGTAGTTTTTGAGTTTATCCATAACAAAGAAACAAACAACCAAATTCTCTTTGTAATGGTTGTATACAATTATCTATTATGGTAAATAGGACAATCTGGATATGTAATTATACTTTTTCTAGGACTAACTTGAATAACGCGAGTAGGTAATTTACTTAGGTACATATTTTACGCAGCGCAAAATACGTAGCGTTGAATACAGTGTTTCAATGAAATGTAAACAAATGAATTATTACGAAGAATCGACCACAAGACAGTCTGCTAATGTCCTATGGTAATACAAATAAAATATCCAATAATTGACTGTATGTTTATGTTTTGTTACTTAAATTGTATGTAAAAAAAAAACGATCTCGACAGATTGTACACAAAGATTAACCAAATTTTTTTTAATGAATAATAATGGAATTGTAACCCCGCCTGTGCTATCGGTATACGCTGGCGGGGCACCAGTGAGGGATGATAGGTGACAATGAAAGCAGGTCAGTTAGCCCATCGTGACGAATTCCACTAGACTTAACCACGATGGTTTCCAGGGGGAACCGAGTGGAGGTCAACCTGACAGAGTGGATTGCTAGCAATAGGTCAGTTAGATCCCATTACCAACAATCCCTTTCCCCCCATTAACCAATATTGTTTGTTAATGTCATTTCTTTATGTTTGTATGTTCTGGGAAATGCCCCCAGATCTCCGTTGCCTGTTTTTTCATAACATAGGGTATGCTAGACTTAAAAACAGGCTAAAAGTGAGGTTGTGGACCCTTGTTAGTTTAATTGCATTTAAAGTGTGTTTTTGTGATAATAATATTTTTTGACAACACGTAGGTTGTCACAAACTTAGTTCGCTATAATAAATTGTCAATAAATTGCGAAACAATATACAGTCTCGTCCCTAATGAAATCTGTTTGGAACAAACATGGTAATCAAGTTAAGTAGGTTCTGTTAGATAGATAGATAGATTAAGGATAGTGCCTACGCTTCTATTGAATATAAAAGTAGTTCTTAAAATTGTTCGAGAATTGGCTAAGATATCGCGTAACATAATTATGATACATATAACTAAACTACGTAACTGTTAATACTACAATACATGGGCATAAAATATAGTTGAAAAGAGGATCTTCTCTTTTGGAGTCGCTTAAAAACTGCGTAGGTATATGACAAACTGCGTATTCGACTTATTACTAAGAACAAGGAATTACATAGAAGGAATGATAAAATAAAAACTGTAAATCATATGGTTGCCGCCTTTCTTCTTATGCAAATATAATTGGTAAAAAGAGGACGAAAGATAAATAAATATATTATTATTATTATAAGATGAAATGAGGCAATCATATGATTTACAATTTTTATTTTATCATTCCTCCTATGTAATTCCTTGTTCCTAGGTTTATTATAAACTGGATATAGTTATTATAACAAGTTGCGATTATAATAAACTGATTGCGTGATAAGCTGTGATTGTGATTAACGGCGTATATGATAAACTGTGATTATGACAAATTGAGTCTAATATGACGAGCAGTGCTTTTATATAATTCACCATTCCTCTATACTGCTCAGCACAATTTTATTATCACAATATGATAGAAAAGACGTCCATAACATCATTACGATAATTAAATTTTATTATTAGTGTTATCTATTCGTATTTAAATATTTTTCCACGCGGTTTCGTCTTAGAGTGTTCTTACGGTACAGAGTAGTCATGAAATGTGATATACCTTGTTTACAAAAATAATTGTAGAATTTATTTCTAACATTTACTAAGTTACTAATAAATATTTTTACATCAATATATTTATAATTTATATTAAAACCAACTACTTTACATTTTGGTTTCGTACTTATTATTTATACTTACTATTTAACATGAAAAAAGATATAGGCTATATTTTATCTTGATCACGCGAACAAAATCAAGCGTAGTCACAGCTAGTATATATATATACATATAAATATCGCTAAGTATCAAGTGTATAATTATTAAAAAATCAAACTAGTTTCGTCATAAAATCATTACGTAAGACTGATAAAGAGAATTTATTAAGTCCTGCTATTCGCAGGACTCTCAAAAATAATTTAAGACTCATTTGAGTGTTCCCGTCCACGGAAATCTTTAGTAAAAGGCGAAAGATTTATCCGTTGTTGAAGAGTAACCAGAGTGACAAATATTTCACCGTACGACCCTTATGTACTTATTATAAATAATTTCAATAGTGCGGTGTAAATTTACTACTAACGCCATCTAGTTGGTCGCAAAAACATAACGATAATGGAATTCCCATCCGTCGGCGCCCGCGTCTCGCAATACCGGGCATAGCATACCATTGCACCGCATTCATATCACAAATAGAGTTAACCTTGTGACGCTCTTACAAAATTAAATAACACAATCGGCAATATTAAACTTCGTAGCTCAACCACAAAGTAACCACTCCGTTAGACGTATGTATTCCTATGCATAAAGCTAAAAAGAATTACAACTTAGGTACTACTAAAGTTTTACAACGCTATCATATTATTAGTACAAATCGAATTATATCATCCCTTGGTTCGTCCTTCCAACCGGTTCATATTTTACTTGTTGAATAAATATCGTATTTTGGATGTCCATAAATGAATAACTTAATTAATGGTAAATATTATTACTAGTTTTTTCACGCGATTTTGTACCTGTGTATTTTAAACCAATAAAATATAAAAAAACATACATCATATTTTAAATTCAACCTTCTGGAGCACAATTTTGGAATTTCTGTAGTTTCATGAAAAAGCAGATGTAAATACACTTTGAAATCGGAACAATATTTTACAACTATTTTATGTCGGGTAGGAGCTATTGATGATTAAGCGTCAATTTCCTTTTTATATAGCTTTTGTATCTGTACATAGGTATATAGGTAGTATAGACTATATGTGGATTAATATCACCTAGATATTGTCTCCCTAAGAGTGCTTAGACAAAAACAGTCCAGCGTATTTTCAAATGGCCTTTTTTTAAATTTAAAATTTTTGTCTTGTTTGATCTAATGAGTTTTTCTGATAAAGGGAGGGGGGGGGGGGGAGATTGTTAGAAATGCAGTCTACCAGTCCCATTGCTAGCAATATACCCTGTCAGGTCGACTCATGTGCTCCCTCCTGGAAACTATCGTGCTGAATTCCAGGTGTATTCATCACGAAAAACGCAAGCGGGATTAACATTCCATTATCACTCGTTAAAAAACAGTTTCATTGTTTCATCATTTTCAATAACGTTATGACAGAGTTGTGATTATACCAAGATAATATTAATAAAATTAATAAAGCATAATATGAACAGATTGTATGTATATCTACTTGGTATTGGAAATGAACTATCGAGCAAAGACAACAAACGACGCAAAAACGACTTTTTATGAACGCGCTGATCTCATCTTTTTATTGTAAATAATACCTAAACGTGCATGTAATATATTTTGTTATAGCCACTTTAAATGAGTCTTTTACTTTATTTTACGTCTTCCACCTTGTTTTGAATTACCGACTATGATTTTCCTCATTATTTTAAACTAGACGTGTCCACGACTTCGTTCACATATCACATAGAGACACATATAGCATAAGTTTCTTCAAAAAATTGGTTTAAGGTTTCTTAAGAGTCAAAATAGCGCGCGTGACATTTCTGATATACAGGCGTCCATAGGCTATGGTAACCTCATTTAACATCAGACGAGCCGTATGCTTGTTTAGCATTATATTTGTATAAAAAAAAATCATTTTTACGCCATCTATTGTCGATTACTGTCAAAATACACTATTTTATAAAAACTACTTAACACTAACAGTAACTAATATAGTAGGTTACGACATAAGTTACAATTAAGAAGCTATTAACAAAAAAAAAAACAAAATAAAATTATTTGTTGTTTATTAGTTTTATTTTAAATATAAAATGTACTCAAAAATACAATTTTTACTAAAAGAAAGCTATAAAATATTTTTTATCAAGTTTACATTTTACAAACATCAATATAATAATGAATATTCTAAATAAAAAATATTACCGAACCGAAAGCTAGGCCATGATTTGTATTCTTTTAAAAAAAAATTTATAATAGAAAAACGGCAACATGACTTACACGTGCCGCGTAACCCACGCCAATACGATATGCTAAACGTGACCTCCAAAGCTAGACAAAACTGGTTAATAGACATTAAATAACATCTATTATATAGTTAGAATCCTGTTAATTATTTTTATTGTATTGCATTGTTTACAAATTAAAATCAGACGTAAGAGAGGAGTGTAGCCGATCTATCATTCCATATTTTAAAAAAAACTACTTCAATTATGTCAATACCAAAAATTATTATGCCAAAGCCAAAAGTTATTTTCATATAAAAACTACTAAACCGTATTTGATAAAATTTATATTAGACTAATCTGTAAGCATATTCTTTGAGATAAAAAAAGAATTTTCCAAATTAGTTTACAACGGACGGAGTTGACATAATAAACGTAAAAAAAAAAAAATCAACCGAATTAAAAACGTCTTTCGTTTTGAAGTTAGTTGAAAATATGACCTATCTGTGTATCATATTTTATTCATATGTGTGCATCTGTTTAGTAGCGAACATCTCTAGTTCTACATTTATTAAGTAAATATTAGAATTGTATTCTATCAAGAAGTAATTCATGAAATTAACAAGTTCGGACATAATATGTAAAATCTTATGTTTTTATATTACAATAGTAGCAAGAATCTTTTTGAAGTACCTTTTATTGTAGTTTGAAGAAAAAACCTCGGTACGAAGTCTTTTTTTTTTTACAACACAGGGGGAAGGTTTTTTACAACCTGAATGTTCACGGAATAAAATTCCCCTGAAACCGATCTGTGCATACACATTTCGGTTCTAAGGTGCGAACATTCCTATTCTATCTTTACTTATTTCTTTACTCATTACTATAAATATGAACAAACTATATTTATATACTTATAGATATTATTTGGACCAGTAGCAATAACAGTAAGAAAAATAACATAAAATTCAATACTATTGTGACATCAACAAAACTTTACGCTAACGGAGTCCAGTGTACTATATATTATATACCATAATTAACCTAATGGCCAACTTTTAGAATTTTGTAGATTCATCATCATTGTTGTTAGTCCAATCATTCGTCTACTACTAACAAAGGCATCCCTTGTTAACTGTCGCAATGAACACTATTAAGCCAAGAGTCTTAATCAAGGAATTAGAAAGGCTAATTATATAGGAGTCTGTACATAATGAACATGCTCGTGACATAACCGCCTGCCCTTTCTCAATGGCTTAATGATGGGAAAGTATAGTTCCTTTCCCTGTATCTGTTAGCCTGTCTTGATACAATTTTATCTGATGACCTTTCAAAACTTATAACAACGTTGCGACAATGAATATATTACGAAGCATCAATATGACCTACTAGATTTGACTTTTTTAGATGTAATACTTTTGCTTAAAGTTTTGTAAAATTGAAACAATGTAAAATAATTTGATGAAATTGATGAAATTCGTTAATTAAAGTTACGTATTTCTCATTAGTGAAATTTACAATGTCGCTGAAGCCATGGCCTTTAGTTTCGTCGAAGCTTTCACGTCACGTTTACGCGATAAATTAGGTGTCTGTTAATTAGATACGGGAGCTTAAAATAAGAAAGTGACCTCCCTGATGAAAATCTCACGTCAATCTCCTCTTATTTCAGCTGAAAAAACGCAAATGAAACAATGTTCATCAATATACTAAATAAATTAAAAATCTCTTTAGGGAGATCACCAATTTTCACCAAAAAGATGGGACATTTAAATTGGAAAGACTAGAAGATATTTAATGGGCAAATCTAATCTTTAAATCTAATATACATAAAATTCTCGTGTCGCGGTGTTTGTTACAAAACACCTCCGAAACGGCTTTACCGATTTTTACGAAATTTTGTGTGCATATTTGGATGAGTCTGAAAATCGGCCAACATCTATTTTTCATAACCCTCAATGATAAGGGTGACCCACCTCTCAATTTATTTTTTTTTATTTTATTGACAAAATTTTTTATTTTTATTTTATTATGATTTAGCATTGAAAAATACATACAAATTAAAATTTTCACGCTTTTACGATCAACCCCTGTTTTTTAATCGCGATTTTTATATGCCGCAATAGGGTTGTCGCAAGATGACAACTGAATATAATAATTGTAGTACGATAAATTTTCATGTATAGGTCTAGAAATAATGTATATAGTAAAACAACGTTTGCCGAGTCAGCTAGTAATATAAAATATATATTTGTATAAATTTTTGTTGTTTTCATGTAAGTAAAATAATGCAAGCATTACAAAAGTAAAGCATTATACGTGAAAATGTTGATGAAATTAATGTCGTGAAACTACGAGTAATATAATGTATCTTAATAATCATTCTATGAATCAATAGGTTAATTAGGTAATTAAGTAAAATCTTAGGGTCGGTGTGATTGTATTGGCATGGTGTGAGTGTGTGTGTGTGCTTTAATGTGTCATAATGGTAACAGAAGGTAGTGTATTCATGCAAAAGCTGTTGTATTTATGTATAATATAAATATAGTAGTACTGAATACACTGTAACATGCATGTATTTGATATTTGTATTTGTGTGTATTGTGATTGAATGTCTGTATTGTACTTTTCTTTTTTTGCGCAAACCAATTTTGTACTTTTATAAAAATAAGAAACCTGTTTTAACCTGTTGCCTTAATATTTTAAATACTAGTCTGTAAATATTAACTGTAACGCCGTTGGTTTCTAATAAATAAAGAAATAAATAAATAATAAAAATTTCGATTTTAATATCAGCTTATCACTATACATGCCACAAAGAAATATAAAACATGATAAAATTTATTAATCTTAGGCAACTACACACATGATGTTCAAATTGCGCATTATAAAATGTATTGTAGGTACGTATTTAAAATTCGTAACCAGTTTTTGTCAAACGTTCTGAACGACCGCGAAGGACGAACGAGCAATTTACAAACAGATATGCTTTGTCATCTCATCATACAACCGATTGTGGCCCACTGTATTACGATAATTTATTTTTAAAAGCATATTTTAGCACTATTTTTTATCGTGTTTTTTTTTTTATTTTAGAAACTTTAAAGA